AAACAAGGCTCCAAATAGAAGGCCACGAGACACGTCAAGCAAAGGGAGACAAAAACTACAAACAACCTCAGAAAATGATATTTTTTTCACCAGATCTCCATATTCACTACTGGTACACCTATTCATCCTGATGATTTCTACACACCTATGTGGATACAGATCTTCTGTGTTAACACGGAGACAAGTGTTACAGAAAAAGAGCACAGATCTGCAGAGATTGGCTTTGCCTGGCCCATCAAGGAACACGTCACTCACTACCTCTGAATGCTAAGAAAACGGATTATAATATGGCTGATGAAGCAACTTCTACTGTGCATTGTTCGTAATTGGTTGTATGGTACATTTAAGAAATTTTAGTTTTAATATGCACAGAATTAAGAGGAATATTTAGAAGGCATGAAGATCCATGAATATCTTCCTTGTGACGTGATTTACAATTATCTCTACACTTACGATGACGTAACGACACAATAGATTTTAAGACAGGATTATTTTTAAAATCTAAATTTTCTAACTTTTGGGACAATATGTTTTGATAAAGGGTACATTTATATACATGTTTAAGCCAGAATTATTTTAAATTTAAATATGACTTCCCTACAACTTTAAACATGTCTGAAGGATTTGTTTTTAATATAAACATAGGAGCAACAGGGCCTTTTTTTTTTTTTTTTAAGAATTTGGGCTTACCCCCTTTGCTCCTGTGAAGGGGAATATTGATGCATCAGCAAACCAAGCATATTTCAGATAACTTTATACTCTTGACTCTTTGGAATTTCATTTAAAGATGGTTGCTACTTGCTTTAACATGGAGTTACACCACAGCACCATAAAAGTCCAGGATGAGTGAGTTTGGTGTGGAATAACTACTGGGTATACAGTCTGGGCTTTAATATGTTACAACTAATTTGGGAAAAATTGGGGCGGAGCCAATCAGCATCAGTGTCTGACTTTATAAATGTACCTTATAATTATACCTTCTGTTCATTTGACTCAAATTTTAAGAATCACCTGCTGCTAACAGTAGCAGTTGAAACACTGAATGACTTTTCAACAGGATAATTATCATGGCTCATAACGCATTATGATGTGGGGATGAAAGTAAAAGTTCTCACAGCATCACCTCGTAGCAGAACATCAACCTTATACAACCAGAACTAAATTTGAATGGTTAAGATGAAAGCATATTTAAAGTTCTAAATAGTCCAAATTCAAACTTAAGTCATATTTAATTTCATCCATAACTAAACAGCTGGTTCTCATAAGTACAGAGCACACTATTCAGAGTTTAATTTTTAATCATTTAAAACAAAGCAATATGCATTGACCCTAGTGTAGAATATTCAATAAAATGACAAAATATATTCAGGTTTGTCAGCCTAATGTGATAAAAATTACAACATTTGAAGTGTTCCATTACACACACACTCGGACTGATAAATCTGGGATACCGGCCTGTCCTAATTTCAGCGTACCTTATATCATACCGGCCCCAACACTTACTCTCCCACCGAAGCTCCTACCTGTGACAGAAAATAACTGAAGGAGCTCAAGAAGTAATACAATGTTAACTACCTAAATGATGCATGTAGTATATATAGCCCTTCCTTGTAAAGCACATCCTTGTGACGGTTGGAATATGGTGTAATTTTCTACTATAAAATCCATGCAGCAAACTGACTATAATAAAACTAAAATGCTTTATTTAAACTACGATGTTCCTCTTATATTTGGCAAATTTATGTTTGAATATTTTGCAAAAATATGTTGCGGTGCATGATGGGGTTTTGCATCTAAAAACTAACGTTTCCCGTCTTAACGTGCATTGTTGCCAGGTTGGGATGTTTCCCAATCTGGCAGTTTAGGATGGCCGTCTATGGGTAAAAAAAAATTTCTTCAGATATATGGCATAAGAGATCAATAGACTTTGGTTCAAATTGGGGAAGATTTCATATATCCAGGCAGTTTATGAAAATTTTTTAGGCCGGAAACTTGAGTCAGTTACATCTGGCAACCCAGCTGGACGTTATGCAGCAGCAGTCACTGTCACGTCCGTGTTAATAACCAAAGCAAAAAATGCATTATAGAAGTCTTGGTGATGATTGTCATGTCATGCTTGAAGATAGATTGGTTAATCCACAATGTGTTTTTGTATTGTGTTCCACATTTGAGACGCATGCATTTGATTGTGCTTCTATTTTTTTTGAAAGGGGGGGTCCATAAGTGGGCCGGTGTAGGTGGAAAAATGCCAGGGCCCGAAAATCGTTCCCAGTCAGAGCCTGCACAAGCTACTATGTATACATTAAGATTGAATTGAGTGAAATAAATTTAAATCTCCCATCAAATACAACCATAGGAAAAAAAAAATGTGACAGCGGGGATAATGGTAGGAATTTCAGTTTGACTTTTAAGATATTCAACACCTGAACTTTTGATAAATACCACTCAAAAACCTTTTGGCTCTGCAGATGAAATAAGCAGCAAATAGAAAGGTGAAAATAAATGAGTCATTGAGGCTCTGAGTGATTACATTGTGTCACCTGGCTTGACTTTTCAAACCTGTCTAACAGATGTTGGGAAGAGGTCGAACACAGGCTCTCAACTGACAGTTTAATTATATCTGTCATGCTTATTTCTTTGATTGTTGTCTGATGCAGCTCTGTAGAAAACTCTTTGTCAACAAATCATTAAGAAGATGGAATGGAAAGCAAGTTGTATTGTCTGCCTTTAGCGTGGGGTGATCACTCTTAGAAAGATGAAATTGGAGTGTTTTTCAGCACAGACAAACATTTATTGTGAGTTATCTTTTCACAAAAGATGATTCAGTTTTACATAATGACAAAAATGAACATTTCCTCTTTCAAAAAAGCCGTGCAGATACTTATTACATCATCTTATTCAGACCTTTTCATACAGCAAGTCTGCAGGCCCAACAATTGTGAGCAATCCAATAAACTTGCTGGCTACTTTGTGAGCTACTGCCTGCTAAAAATCACACTCCTGCAACTTTTTCAGAGCTGCTTTAGTTCTTCTCTTATATTTTAACACATTATTTAAAAAATTAATTATGTTGCTGCAGATTTGAGAAAAATTAAATAGCATAATGCTCTTTGGGAGAGAGATAATTTTTTCTAACACTTATTGCTCATCACTTAATGGTATTACAGCTAATATATTAATGAGCTGCTTGTCTGCTATCTTACTGATGTCATTCCCTCCTGGCATTGAGTTGCACACAATTTATACACCTGATTAAACTACAGCTTATATAGAAAAAGGCCACACTTGCTGATAATTTGTGTATTTAATTAAAAGCCCATAGCTCCTAATCAATGGGTGCAGCAAGAGAGTACTTTCAGTTTTTAAGAACTTAATATCTATCCGTGTCTATATGTATGTAAGCAAGGAAAATCTAGTGCAAATACATGAAAGAAAACTCTTTTTTTCTACAAGACCTTACAATATAGGTGAGGTTAAATGTCTAAAGATGGCGACCATCTGTTCCTGCTTTACAATTAAAAAGCTACCAGAGGTATCTCTATATTAGCCTTTATCTATATCATTTAGAGATAGATTATATACATTGATCCCATTTAAAAAGGCTGGATGATTTTCTGTCATTTTTTTTTTTATATTACAAATAAATGTTTTTTAATGATCATTCAATTTATTTTTGCAGGAATAAGAATATTTTTTTCCACTTTTGGTAAGTTTTAAAAAGCGCAATCAGCAGAAGCATGGATTGGAGAGCTTATTATATTCATCAGCATTTCTTTTTCTCTTATTAAGCTGCTTTTCATTAAATTCCACATTTAAATGTTTTAATTCTTCAGTAGAAAGGAAACAATTAAAGAATACAGTGAGTACTTTGAAAATATAAAACTTTTAAAAGGGGTATTCTAACATAACTGATCAGCAGAAGAGAATATTTTACATGTTTATTTTATGTGTGGAACACATAGGAGCAGGTTTGATTTTTTCAATGATGAGATCACTGAAGGAAAGGCTAGACTTTCTGACGGCAAAAATCTCATACTTGAAAAGTCCCAGTCTCATATCTGTTTAACAGCGCAAGCCTTCCTTTAAAGCAAAGATCTTTATTTACTTTTTTCTTTGTGTCACATGTCGTTATTTTAGGAAGAGTTCCCACCAGATTTTTTGTTCTCTAAACTTTGAATGTGATCCTTTTTCATAAATGCTCCCCAAGCATGTTTCCCTTCATACCCAACTGGGTGACAGCTGTTTTTTTCAGTTGTACATTACCCCTTTTTTGTAATAATTGGAGAGGTCAAAGTTCAAGACATCCAAAGTAAACCGTAGAAGACAGCAGAACCAACTACCTGTCACAAAAGGATTTAACAGAGAGAAAAGCTGCAGGAGGAGAAAAGCAAAGGGACACTAAGAAAGACTCACTGAGCCAACAGGAAAACATCTTTCATGTTCTACTGTTGTGGTTGTGGTGCTGAAAGCTTAAAGATCAAAGCTGTCGCCTAAACCAGATTTAAAGTTTTTTTCTTAGCTTCCCTGTTTAGTGTTTACATCAGATCTTTAAAGGATGTAAAAACTAATTATTTAGCCTTTTCTAGAGATTAACTACAAATAAAAGGAGATGGGAAGCTTTATCCTTCTATTGTTTTATTTTCTGCTTTGGTGATAGCTTGGTTTGATTATTTAGCATTGCTCCATATTGTTATTTTTTAATTGAAAAAAAATCTATAATAGTCAATGTATTTAGATTCCAGTCTGTCCATTTTATTTGAAATAATGCTTAATTTTCTCATTAACTCTAAATAAATCTTGAATATAAATGAAAGAGATACTTCCTGTGGAACGGTAAAGAATTTATCCTTCAGATAAGACTGAATAATCTAACGTTATTTAATACTGTTACAAGTTAAAGTTCAGGAATTCATTTTCTGGCCTTAAAAAGTCCCTAAAGGTTTTGCCATTTTTATTTTATTCAAGCCAGAATTAAATTAGATTTTGCTTTCCCTTCTCACCTCCTGTTTTGGCCATCTGTGTCCTCTCATCTGCACCGTTGTCGACATCCGCCTCGTCTGTGAAGTTCGCCGGGGTCACGCTGCGTCCTTGAACCTCTGCTATCAGCCAGAAAATGATGAATGTTAGAGAACCAATCACTGCTCAGCACAGGGTTCGGGCTTTCAGCCCCATAAAAACCTAAAAGCTCTCCTTCTCCCTCATCTTTTTTGATGAAGATATTTTTAAAGGACATTTTGATTATTTGCTCCATGATTTCCTTTTGATCCATAGTACAGGACTGACAAAAAGAGGGCATTGCATTAGTTTCCTTGGTGATGAAGGCTGCCTAGTTGTTGTGTCCTAAGCCCATATTTAGAGTGCAGTTGTAGCTTTAGTTAGCAGCGCCTAATCGCTCCACATGTTGATGGGTGTAATCAAAGCTTTGCCGTTTCCTGAGTGGTTATTTGTGCTTGGAATTTAAGGCTGCAGAGACTCAGAAAGGGGGGACAATCATCCTTAAATACATAGATTTGTGAACAAAGGAAAGAAATAAATCCAATTTAACAGTAGATATTTAAAAGACGCTGAACTCAGAGATCTGCTCTAAGTGTAAAAAACCTGTGACTTTGCTAAACATCAAGTCCTGTAGGTCTGTTCTATTTTGGGAAAGGTATGCATGTGTCGGACACACAGGGTCAAAAGTCAAATCATTAACTGCAAAGTAGAGGATATTGCCTCTATTATGAGAGCAATTATAGTTAAAGGGCTAAGAGGACAGACTGTTACATAATGCCTCCCAACCACTGCAGCCTGATGCCCATTTTTTGAGCCTTCGGTGCCTCAGTTTGTTGCTGGATGACAGCAACTCACAAATCAAGTAAAATTAATTTGATTTTCAAAAAATATGCTAATTTAGTGCAGCTATGAGATAAGGCTTCTATCTTTGCATGACAAACAAGGACAGACGTGTAAAGCACAGAACATTAAATGGAACAAACATTTCCTGTCTGGTTGGAAATCAAACCCTCGCCCCCTTTTTCTCACTCCTTTCTTGGTTTTCATGAAAACATCAACAACTGAAACAAGAAACACAATAATGAGAAAAAAATGTGTTATGTATATGAAAAAAAAAGCAAGGCAATAAATAAATACCATTAAAAGAGCATAAAAGAGAGAAAAAAGTACACAGTTGTTTAAGAAGCTGGTTTTGAAAGCTGGGGTTTGCAAACTGCTGTTAGGAAGAGATTTCTTCCGTTTTTGCCTTTTTGTCTGATCAAATAAATATCCTATCGGATTAAGAATATGGCTGATGAAATTAAAACAGCTCTAAATGAGCATTTCATTTATTTCAGGACCAAAATGAAACCAGATAGAAGTGTGTAAAATTGAGTTATTGACTAATTTGTTAAATGATTAATTGGGATTAACACCATTAGTCCTGTTGAATCAAGAACTGAGAAAAAAATCTTCCTGAGATAATCCAATGGTAACCTTACAACCTTATGTGTTGTAAAATTAAATCAGCTCTGCAAAGAAGAGTGGAGGAAAAAAAAAAAAAGTCTACCTAATACCAAAAGGCTGGCAATGCCATCTAATGCATGCCATCTTACACCACAAGTTAGTCTCAAGTCTTTTAATAATAAAGACACCCTAATTGGCCTCAGCAGATGGTCGCTCACAATGAGCCTGGTTCTGCTGGAAGCTTCTTCCTGTTCAAAGGCAGTTTTCCTCTCCACTGTCGCTACATGCATGCTTGGTTTGAGGGATTTCCTTTGAGTCAATGAATCGATGAAACCAGCTGTTTTTCCTTACATAGAACACTTTGAACCAATTTGACTTTGATCTGGTTGAATCGTCTCTATAAATTGATGATATAAAGTGATAAAATGAATTGCATTAAAGAAGCTTTTGCACCATTATTTAAAGTGGTTTGTTTTTTCTCCTACATCGTTTACATTCTGATCACTGCTGCACTTTATATTAGTAATGTTTATCTACTCCAACTGCAATATCATTATATATCATCACCGCAAAATATTGTTGCAACTGTTGTAAGCTGTATGCAACAAAATTTTGTTTTGTATACACCCTTTGCATACAAAATGACAATAAAGTTTGTCTAAGTCTAAGCTCAAATGCAAATATAGTTACGAGTCAGAATTCGAGTCCTTTTTAATATAAGCACGTCGCCACCTCTAAAGTATTTCTGATTAGGTGCGTACAATTTTTTTTTATTTATTATAAATTTACTAATGAGTACTGTATTTGGTGATATTCAACATTTTATTGATGTGTTTTATAGAATACATAGAAAATGTCCATTGATGCTTTACCTTTTGGACTTTAATTTCTAACACTAATTGTAATTGAAAATACTTTAAGTGTCTACAGTAGCTCCATTACTAGCATGGTGAGAATAAAATGTTATTAAGCTTTATGGAACATCAAAGGTAGACAACCCAGAGGACAATTACAATGAATAGAAGTTTTCCCTTTGGGTAAAAGCCACTTATTAGTCTAGACAGAGAAAGCCAGCCTTCGGAAAACAAAATTTAAATTCATGTCTGAATTTCTGCCCTAACCCCAGACCCGTCAATCACTATATAGAGCAGGGACTATATAGTGATCTCAGTTAACGGACCATTTGGACAGATGATCACTGCTTTTTACTCCCCGTTGGTCACATGACTTTAGCTCCTCCCACGGTGCCTGTGCCATATTTGATCATCCACGCCCTAAAAACAAATCCCATGATGTTTTGAGACAAGAGATCTTGCAAAGCATGCTGGGATTATCTAGTGATGCTGGATGCACACTGCTTTTCCAGGTCCATTGTGGGAAATTTGGAGTCTACTACTATTTCTTCCACCAGACATTCAGACACTCATAAAATGGCATAACCACAATATAATGCTCTATGTAAGGGTTAGGACGGACGTTCGGACACAGGCAACGAGTCACAATAAACAAAGTCTGCATAAGAAAATATATGTATTCCTCATATCAGAAATATGAGCATGTTGGTGATTTATTTTGCTTCCATTCTATACATTTGGAAGCAAATGAACACCTATGGATTAAAATCAGTACAACTGAAACTGTGCCTAATTATATTGTTGCTATTGTTCAGTTAATTGCTTCAATTTTTATTCTCCGGCACCATGATCCTTATTGTTCGGTTTCTATGTGACACATGCTGATAAAGGTTTTAATACAGCTCATTTTCGCGTTAAGTTTTAGAATATTTATTAAAGGCATTGTGAGCCTTTCTGAGAAACAAAAGGCTTCTCTTTGGATCTAACAGGTGTGTGCAGCAGCCCTATCATCAGCGCTGGCAGTGACAGCAAGAACACGCTGTAATAACAGGTTAGCGGGAGAAGCGTCACTGAGATCAAGCCTCTCTCTCCAGCTGCTCTGCTGATTTACAAGGCAAGCAGAGGTGGAGGCCATGAATCAGCTGAGAGAGCATCCAGCAGCGGACGTGTGCCCGAATGCAAATGGAGCCGTTTGTTCCCGGCTGCTCATTCCCACACAGGTACGGCTCATCTAACAGCACCGTGATTCATTGCCACAGATAAATCCATAGTCCGAATGAAATGGGTGGGCAAAGACATATGGAGAAGCATTTGCCAAAGAGCAAACATGGATATAAAAAAAAAAAAACCTGCTTCCAACAAACTCCTCAACACACAGGTTTATGCAAGAGGAGAAAGACTAGTAATACTCCAAGGTTAGTTATAGAGATGGTCTCTAAAACAAATGCACAGACATGTTCCAAAAGAAGCTTCTTGGAAGGGAAGCGAAACATCTTCAAACTTGGAAACAAATTCCAGTGGATTGTTTTTAACTTTTGTTTTGAATAAATATGACCCGGATGACACAAAATCTTGACAGCATTTTGCACAGACATGTTGAAATGGCTGGTTTAGTGGATAAATTAAATCACTGCAGGATTCCGCTAATCTGTTAGAGACAACTTCAATAAAAAGCTGGATGTTAAAAAAGAAAAACATGCATCCTCAATACGTTATGGTCTCTCTGCATGCACCATCTTAGTTTAGCAGCTTTTTCCACTGTAGATGGTAAGAGCTATATAAATGGTTTAGATTGAGAAAAATATTCTCCTGCCCATAAAATTATTCAGGTAATCTAAATTAATAAACACAGATCATCCCATTTGTAAATTATATTTCATTTATCTTGAAGTAATTCTTTTTATGTCAATACTGATGTATATTGTATATTCTGCTTTTACTTTCATCTATTTTACTGTTTAAATCATGTAAATTACTTTGAATTGTCTCTGTATTGCATCGTGTTATATAAATAAACTTGCCTGATCATTTGACTGAGTAAAGCAGAAAAGTAGAATTTTTCATCCTCTGCTTTTAGGTAAACATGAAGGGTTTGGTTCCAACAGCTTCACAAAAGTTACCCTCACAACATTATGCTGCCATCTCTATGTTAAACAGTGAGTCTGGTGTTTTTTTGGTGAAGTAAAATGTTCATTATTGTGGTTAGAAACATTCCTGATCAGTTTCAGTCTTGTTCGGTTTGGATACAGTCTACCAGTGCAATACGGTATAACCTCTCTACAACCCTTTGCCTTAAATAAAGGATGAAAATACGGTAGGCAGATGTCCAGAAAGATTAGCTTTAAGCAGAGGTGTCAAGTAACGAAGTACAAATACTTTGTGTGCTTAAGTACACTTTTTAGGTATCTATACTTTACTCCATTACTTATTTTTCTTCCTA